CTCATCTGTCCCCAGTATACTTCTACATATCACTGAGAAGTTGGCAAACCATCACCTTTGTTCAAGAGGCATCCTCAGTTTATTTTTGAAATAGGTCCCTGTTTCCCATTTTCAGTGTGGTCTCTGTCACCTCCGTTATGACAGAGTTTGAAAATAATCACTATTCTTTCTGTCTGTATGAATGTCACCAATATGGTTATTTCTCATAAACACAGTCATGCAATATCTGGCTCTTTAATATTTTTTTCAGTCAGCAACATTTATCAAGAGCCACCTATGTGGAGCAAGCATCACCTCTTCATACATGTTGATGGCTGAGGCCATTACCCTGCATGGGTGCTGGAGCTATTATGCTGCCCTGCACATTGAACAGTGACCAAAACAGTCGTGTGCTCCCCTGGTCATGCCTACACGTGGCACTGCAGACTCTGGTTGGGGATTCTGCCATATTAGGTGACACAGTGACTGCTGTCATGTTGTCTAGAATATCATTAGCCATCAAAACGACCATTAGCAGTCTGCATTGTTATTTTTATTATCACATGGGAACCAGAAACTCAGAGATAAAAAGGCCAGGCTGTGTCCAGCTGAATGGCATGAAAGGGGTTCAAAGTCAAGGGCTTTCCAAAGGCTGTGGACCTGCCCTGTACCAACCTGGCTCTGCCCTCCAGGCAGGGGACATTTAGCCATGTCTGCAGGTATTTTATTCCCATCGGCAGGGATATGCGGTTAACAGAATCTGGTGAGTACAGGCCCCCTTTGTTGCTAAACACATTACGGCGCACAGTGCAGCGCCAACCACAACATCAGCAGCACTGTGCTTCTGAAAGTTGTTTTAAACTAAGTCTACCCTATGGATTGATTGTGTGAAATAAATACATTAAATGGGTCTTATTTTTAGAAGCAAATTGAGGATGTTTTCAGCAAACGCATTCACCTCAAGCAGGTAGTTGGAGAGACAAAAGACCTGACACCCCAGTGGGGACAGGCTGAGGGCAGAGCCAAGGCCAGGATGCTCTGGGGGTTTTTGTCTCACTTCCCCATGCTCTGGAGCACTGTGTGACTAGCACTGGCATCATAAGACTGACAGTAGTAGTCGGCCTCGTCCTCAGACTGCAGCCCCGAGATGGTCAGGGAGGCAGAGTTGGAGGAGCTGTCGCTGGAGCCAGAGAACCGATCGGGGACTCCGGAGGGTCTTTTGTCATCCCTGTAGATCACAGTGGTGGGGGCACTGCCCGGGCGCTGCTGGTACCAGTGCACATAGTTGCTCCCAATGTTGCCGCTGCTGCGGGTACAGGAGATGGTGACCTTCTGTCCTGGAGACCCTGACACAGAGCTGGGCTGAGTCAGGACAAAGTTGGCCAAAGACCCTGCAGAGAAGGACGGACACAGAGAAAGGTGAGAGTGGACCACAGCCTGTTCCCAGGGAGGAGGGAGAAAGCCATTATCCCAGGTGACTTCCAGGAGCCCTCCCTGAGTTCCTTGCAGGCTCCCACCTGTGCAGTGAGCGAGGAGGGTGAGGAGGAGCGGGGCCCAGGCCATGGCGGGGACACCCCAGGCTCTGCTTCCTGAGCTGACAGCCAAGACAGGGCCCACCAATGCTCCTTATCTGACATTCTGATCCTCAGGGGGGGAGGTCTCCATGCAAATTTCTCCCTATCTTAGGGCTACACAACCCCCACATTTGACCTCACACTGGGTCTGGCTGAGAAATAGAAAGACCGTACAGGGGTGGGGGAGGAGCACAGCACTGGGGGACACAGGAACAGGTGCCAGTGTGTGCAGGGAGAGAGCTCCTCTCTGGGGAGCCTGAGCAGGTGCTGAGACCACAGCGCCCTCTGGTGGACGCGGGAGACATGTCGGCCCTGGGAAGGGGAGGTGCTCAGGGCTCCTGCCCTCCCTGCCCTGCACCCCTCACAATTCCAGCCACTGTCCCAGGGTCTCTGCTCAGCATCCTGTGCTCCCTATGCATTTAAACCTCCAAATATGTGCAGATGGACCAACGGCCACGACTCTGGTAAAGACATCCTCATTTGCTTTGTGTCATTACAGGTGATGGATGTTTATGGGAGAATGGGTTGTGCTTGCAGGAAAGAGATGTGAGGGCTACACCTTCCTCAGGAGGGCCCACGTGGAGCAGCGCTGTGAGCACTGCGCTGAAAGGGGATGCGGCCATTCATGCGGGGAGAGCCTCGGACCAGAGCCCATCTCGCCACCAGCAGCCCCATGAGATCAGAGAGACCCTGGCCAGGCTGGGAGGGGAGGGCCAGCGGGTGTCAGGGGAGAATTTCAACAGAGCCCTTCATCAGTGAGTGCTATGGAGAAAACATGGAAACTTAGCAGGCGACATGCGTGTAAAAGTGATTGGCAGAGAGAATCTGCACAGCTAGTGATTGCTCAGAGCTCTGGGTAAGATGAAGATGAGTCAATATAAATTTGTAGTGTCAATTTGTGTCCCAGTCGGGTGCTACTGCTGCTGTGCTAGCAGATATTCTATAGAACCTGTTTGGGGTACTGTGGTGAGAGTTTGTTTATCTATTTTGGAAAACCATTCACAGGTGACAGGCACTGAAGCAGGTGACAATATGAAAGCAAAGCTCTGCAGGTGCTAGCAGTGGGCTGTGCTGTCACAGGGTGGACCGTGTGTGCGTGACAACTTAGAGGGTGAAGATGGAACCGTGGGAGACCCCACTGCCTACAGGGATAGAAAGGTATCAAAACTCATTCTAAGTTTGAGAAAACTGTCATTTATGTATTCAAAAAGTATGCAAGTATTCATGAAAATATATTTTTAACTCAGCTACTATCCTCCGCTTGGTCACAGGTGGCAAAGTATTATGTTGAGTCAGAAGAGAACCCCACCCTCAAACCAGGGGTGCATCAACCACTGGCCCCTTTAATCACCAGGATGGAAAATCCTCTTATTTCTGGTTTGTCACGTGTGATGTTCCCTGGGTTATGGACTCAGCGTCCCCATCCCGCTACGGCTTTTGAGGTAGTTGAAGATTTTCCACATTCTCCTCCCTCCTGCAACACCTCCTCCACCTTCTCCCTCTGATGTGACCTTCATTTCTCTCTCTGTGACCATGACATGTGCCCAAGATTAAGGTCTTCAAAGGAGAACCTTCCCAGTCTTTCCCCCCCATTTTGCTGATTATGTAATTTTGGGGTGTAGACCCAAAGTTATTCAACTCAATTTTTTCAAGTTTTCCTTTATATTGCATTTGAGTTATGTAGATGTCTCCCTAGATTATGCCCAGCTAGTTAGATTTAAGTTATATTTTATTAACTCCTATGCTCCTGTACTGAAACATTTTCCATCCCGTGTTCACACGTGCATAGAAAGGACCAGACCTTTATCTAGCGCAGAAAGAGGCAGGGATGTATACGGCGAGCACTTTTCCACCACAGGAAAGAGATTCACAAAGTCGGATAATGCCTGAAATTGCACTTGCAAACAATGAGAACCTGTATAAACACACAAGCTGTGGTTCGTGTTGGAAGGAAAGGTCCCTGCCAGAGGGAAGGCTAAGGTGCGAAGGTCACTGTGGACGGTAGGTCCCTCCTGGTAAGTGTCCGCCCCAGCTCTGACCTCCGTGTATCAGGGAGGAAAGGAAGGAGAACATGTGGGAGGACACGCGGGACTGCGCGCAGCACTGGTTCCCGTGGGAGGCTCCTTCTCTGTGTGCGGGGACGTCCAGCCCGTGTCTGCTCCACAGAGGAGAGCCAGCCTCCGCCTTCCGTCCCGGACACAGTCCGTGTGGCGCTGAGGCTGCCATGAGGGGAGAAGCAAAGACAGAAAAGGGGAGGAGGTGAGTTCAGAGGGGCGTGGAGGGATGTGGACCTGGCAGGGCTGTGCCTTGGGACACTGAGCAAGGACAGCGGCTCCTCGCCAGGCCCTGGAGAAGTCAGGACGCTCCTCCTGTGCCTGAGAGTGACAGTGTGTTAGGGCTGGGAGGAGCCGGTGAGTGACCCTAAGGGACAGGCGATCAGCACAGGTTTGTGATTCCTTGGAGAGGCAGGAAAGGCAACATGGGGAGGAGCAGGGGAGGGAGGAGCACTCGTGGCAGAGAGGAACCACCATGGGGTCTGCACACAGAGCCCTGCCCTCCAGGGCCCCTCAGGGACCTGCAGAAGGGATGGGATGATGGGAGGGGGTCTGAAGCAGATGGACAGACACTGAGAAGCCATGGGGAGATTGACGCAGTCACAGTGCAGTCCTGACTCAGCTCAGTGTAGCCCAGTGGCAGCTCTGTGGGCTCACATGGCTGTCACCTGTCACCTACCTTGTACTTCCAATGAGGGACAGTCCTGCCACCTCCATACTCTGAGGACACAGTGCAGTCCCTTTTGCACTGAAAGACCCCTGTGCCCCCCTGTCCTCCCTGGTGCTCTGGTCACTCTGGGCAGGGACCTGCCTGTGCTGACTGACGCTGCTGCTGCTGCTCAGGTCTCCACAGTGGGAGCAGGTGGCATCTCAGGATCCCGCCCGGGCTGGGGAGGGGAGGGGGTCACCTCTCTGGTAGTGGGGACAGGAACCTGCCTGTGAGCTGCTCTTCCACAGCTCACAGTGTTGTCGTGTGGAGTGCATACTACATGCGAGTGTCCATGGAGCCCTATGGGGACACCCAGCACTGCCTGCTGGGCTCCACACTGTCGACAGGGGACACCTGAGTCTGCCCTGTCCTTCTTGATGGGTGGAGTCACCTCATGCAGGTGTGACCCTGCCACACTCCTCTCCAACCCCTGGTGGGACTGTGGCCTGGACAGAGGACTGGTTTGGGTGGAGAAGGAAGTGATGGCCTGAATCTCCCACGGGCGGAGGGAAGCCCATGCACCGAGTGTCTCCGTAGGTAGAGCTACCCCCGTTGCAGGAGAGTCCCTCAGCCATGGGGTCATCACACCCAGGCCCACAAGAGGAGGCTCAGCCATTTCACTCCTGGGAGCCCCTCAGTTTCACTCTCTTGTCTGACTCGCAGTGCCCCCTGCTGGCCACAGCCTCACACGCTCTGCGCATGTGCACTGCACAGCTGAGCCCTCCTGGCAGATGAACCTGCTTCTGGCCCTTTGGCCACCTGGGAAAGGTAGTGGGGCGCGCTGGAGCGTTTGCTCCCCAGGGGCCCTCGTGTGGGGTCACCAGGGACTGCAGGGATCCACAGGTCGCCTTCTCCATCCCCTGCCTTGGACTCGCCACCCCCTGCAGGGACACAGTGACCCCATGGTGGCAGGTAATGGATTCTACCCTAAATTAGGCTTTCCACACACTCTGCTCACACCTTCATAATGTCCCCCTTTATTGAATTTGTGTGTATTCACCTTATTTTCAGTGCAACGGACTTTCTAGCAGGACCCTTAACTAGCACTCCCAATCATGTTTGGATCACAGACAGACTAATTTGTGCATATAAACTAACTACCATGCAAGAGTCAAAACTCGTCAACACACTTGTTTCCACTGGAAAGATTCTGTGTCCTGAGTGAGGAACAGCTGTCCACACACAGGTGACAAGACGCAGAATGTCCTCTTAGCCATGGTGCTGACGTCCTCCAAGTGATCCGAGCTCCATGGAAGGGCTGAGCCTCTCACAACGGGGCATAATTGCTGAAGTTTCCCCACGGATTCTGCCACGAGCAGTGAGGGCCCAGCGACCTCCTGGGCTGGTCCTCGGGCTCCGACCCAGATGTCAGCTGGAAACGGCTAATTTTTCTTGTTTCAAGAGGGAGAGGTCAGCTCCAGAGACTCTGGATTTAGGACAATTGAATGAACAGGCAACACTTCCATGTCATCAGGACGATGTGTTTCTCCATTTCTGAGAATTCAGAAATATCAAATGGAAAATTGAGAGAAGAGCTTTTTTGAAACTGAAAATGTTTCCAAGATGAATGTGCCTTTATCAGTTATTTTAATATCTGAAAATTATCGTCAGATGAGACCCTGGACAGGCTGGGGTTTTCGTCCCACTTCCCCATCCAACTGTGTCACTGTGACAAGCACCGTTGTGCCACACGGCACAGTAATAGTCAGCCTCGTCCTCAGGCTGCAGCCCAGAGACGTGCAGAATCCCTGCGTTGGCCGAGGCATCTTTGGAGCCAGAGAAGCGGCTGGGGACCCCGGAGCCCTGGTGCTTGTTCGAGTCTGTGTGGTAGTACAGCAGGTACCGGGGCGGACTCCCTGGCTTCTGCTGGTGCCAGGATATAGCATAGCTGCCAACACTGAAGCCACTGCTCAGGGTGCAGGTAAGTCTGGCTGATGCCCCAGGAGATGCAGAGAGGGAGGGCGGCTGAGTCACCACAGGCTGGGACAGGGAACCTGCAAACAGACACACATGGATGATGCGGCCGTGATCAGGGTTAAGCCTGGACTTAAGCCAGAAGAGACAGAGTGGAATCGGGGCTGCCCTGATTCTCCCAGGCCTGTCCCTACCTGTGCAGTGAGAGAGGAGCACGAGCAGGACAGGAGCCCAGGCCATGGTGCACACAGCCCCTGGTCCCCACAGTGGGGCTGGGATGCCTAGGCCTCCTTTTGTCCCCACCCTCTGCGGAGGAGGGGCTGCTCATGCAAACGTGTTTCCATCCAGGGACTGCCCAGCCCCGCCCTGAGCCCTGGGCTGGAGCTCAGCTCTCACTGCACACTGAGGAGGGGGGATTTGCTTTGCCCCTTGGGGGAGCCCGGGGAGGAAGCAGCTGCTGGGACCATACAAAAGGCCCTGCTCAGGGGACTGTGCCAGGCCAGAGAGGACACAACTGCTGAGTCCGCATCAATGAGCACAGGGCACAGCCCCAGACCAAGGCTCCTTGGGGTGACTGGTCCTCCCTGAGCAGCTGTGTAGGGACCACAGGGCAGTCCCCCAGCGTCCCCTGCTGGTCACAGGCACACACCTCCCCATGGCCCAGAGACCTGAGAGCCCAGCTGGTGTCTGCAGCTCCCAGTCACTGTCTTTATTGACACAGGCACAGTCTGCATCTTACAAACTGTGATCCTAATGCTGATACTCTGCGTGGAATCACTGTCGTTTCTCACTCCCAGAAAGAATCTTGGACTATGAGAGGAGCAAACATGCATATAATCGGTAAATCACATTCTCAACCCCTCACATAACATGCTGCAAATGTAATAAGGCTTCCTGGTATATTATTCAATACATACATGTGTTTCTACTGTTTCTTGGCCATTGGTGATAATGGAAATGTTTTCCAACCACTCTCACATGAGTGGATTTGTGTCTTACTCTCCTGATTGTTCACTGTTGCCATCGCTGTGCTAATTGTCACTGTGGAGGAGGCACGGAGCGCCCTGAGGTTGCACCTGTGGGCTCACACCTGCCACGTCGCACTGGAGCAACGTGCGGTTGGCGCTGCGCCCTCAGATCCCGTGTTGTCAGCCCCACGTCCCCTCTCCCGCGCCGAGTCTCTGCTCTGTGGACACTGAGTCCACACGCCATCCTACTGTTCTCGCGTGTGTTCTCAAGAGAGTGTTTGGGGGGCTTCAGTTGAACAGGTGAATCTGAGATATCCGTGATTCACACAGTGAATTTCCAGCATGAAGTACAACGCTTTGCTGACAAGTGACTGCCTTACAATTTCTAAGTTCCATGGAGTGTCGGTGACACCCACCCACGCAGCCACCCTCGCTCTGCAGCGACTGAGCTCCTGTCTGCCGTCCTCGGTGCCCGAATCTGCTCCTCCTCCCGCCGCTCCCGTGGAGCTGCGCTCCGGCCCTGCCGCCCGTCCAGTCCTTCTCCGCTGTCTCTGCAGGAGCCCGGGGGACCCGCCCGGCTCCCGGTCACTTCCCCAGGGCTCACGCCCACGTTCCTCTCCTGCTCTCTAGACCCCGAGGGCAGCGCTGCCATTACCAACTTCTTTGTATGAACTCAGAACTCTGAACTGAGATGTCCACGGCGAAAACTCAGCATGTTTGCCTCAGACCTGAGGCTCTTCCTGGGGATGGCGCTGAGGGGACGGCACCTGGTCACTCCACGGACGGTGAGAGTGTCCCCGGCGCCAGGCCAAGCTCTGAGCTCGGTGCACAGAGGGGAGGAGCGGGAACCAGCAGGAGGGGACAGCCCTGTGCGTGGAGCTCAGGCTCCTGTGGGGACGCGCAGTGAGCACAGACGCAGCGCTGCCCTGGGCACGCGGAGCCCTGACAGCGGACGCCCCTCGGCCGCGCAGGACGTGGGCGCCGAGCCCACCCTCTCCACGCCCTCAGGCCGGCCTCCCCGACTGCCCGTGCTGAGTGCAGGGCCGCCACCGCTCTCCTGGCCGCTCGGCCCGGTGCGACGTGTTCGCCAGGTGTCCTCACTTCATTCCCTCTTACACAGCGGAGGACGCTTCACCCGCGTCTGAAGACAGCGCCACTCTGTTCCCAAACACCCCAGGCTCTTTCCCCGAGAACAAGGCGTAAAACATTCAGTGTCTCGTTCCACTGTCTCTGGGCCTGGCCCCTCAGTTCTTCCCCAGCCCTGGTCCCCAGCCTCTGCCCCTGGGCCTGGACATAAGCTCGTGCAGGTCCCATGGAAATATGTCACTGACCTCGGCCCGCAGTGTCCCCTTCCCTTTCAGCACTTCTGCTCCTCCGCCCAGCCTGTGCCTCTTCCCAGTGGGGACATTTATTTCATTGTGTGGAATTTACCAGGAACCCCCGCAGATGCATCTCTGCCCACCCATGTGCACGTTTCCCCACGGAGAATGCACTGACAGCGACACTAAGCATGGCGCAAGATCATGATCCATATTGTCAACCTCTGGTTCTCTCATTGGCTGTACCTTCCAAAGTGTGTTTGTGTATCGTGCTCCTAAGTCCCCTAAACATTTAATCTTTCCAAAACGATGAAAGAATGTCTGAGAGGAAAGATGGAATATCCTCCTTGCATTGGGGCAGGTTTCAGCATCTTTGGAGACTCTGTGGCATCTGAGTTCAAGGTTGTCTTTAGTCAGGGTAACTGGGGAAATGGGACTCACTAGGGAGTCTGGAGATCTATTTCTTATGATCATTTAATGTAAAAACTCTGATAAAGGACAGTTTCATCTTACCTATAGATAAGGGGATTTAAGCAAGGCTCTCAACTTTACCGTGTTATGGGAGATAATCAAAAACATCCACGGCATGGATGGCCCAGCCACATCTCCATATTTTTGCAATTGTTCAGAGAAACTTCCCAAGGATTCATGGGTTCATGGACACCTGTGAGATCTGGCCTTTCTGTGTGGTCACAACAGAGGGAGGATGCAGGGGTTTGGTGTGACGCAGCGCCTGCTCATGCCACGCACACACTAGCCCTGGACTCTCTAGGACGCCCCGGCCGCCTCTGAGTGGTCAGCGAGATGCCCAACATCTCGTCCTGCAGACAGTGGAGCCCGAACTTGACCATCACAATCCCGTAGGGCTTCTCCTCTCATCCTTACCGTCCACATTGCATCCTGGCAAAATTCCCATGTTTGAACCATCCTTGACAGCCATTCAAAGTAGGGTCATCTAAATGTCCCCATGTCCCCTGATGAGAGAGCGTGATCCCTGCAGAGCTTCCTCTCCTGTGTAGGGAATGCTTCCCTCTCGGAGGGGGCACACGCCCCTTCCAAGTCTTCAGTAGTGCAGGGAGTGATCTTCCAGTCCACAAAGTGCCAACAGAAAGAGCACACACCCACTGCTGGGCCCATCGGTGCGTGTGTGTGTGTGTGTGTGTGCATATATGTGTTCCCTTCTATGAGGTCACATAGTCCTATTCTGATTGTTGTTCAGTGTTTCATGTCTGCAAAGAGTGGTTTCGTGTAATCGGTTCTGTCTTGTGGCTGTTCGTTATATAAGGGCTGGACCTGCTGCCATTTATTGCATTATGGCTGGGGACGGAAATTGACGTGCCCTGGGTACGAAAGTGTGTGTTTATTTATCTTAATGCAATTTAATCACTTATATCCTCTTATGATACTTTCCATATGCTGTACAGACAGGAGCTCTTGTTGGGAGCTGTCCCGGACACGGGAGGGTTAAAGTGCGGTTGCCGCCCAGGACACTGGGGGCCTTCAGACACAGCACCTGGCCCCTTGACTCAGAGCTCTGACATTCTTGGCCTTTCTTCCAGCTCACGGAGGGTGCTGGAGATAGCAGTAGCAGTTATAGAAGGTCACTGAAGTCATCCTGTGCACACAGCCCTCGTAGCTTATAGCTCCCCCCCCCCCAGGCCCTGCACGTTCCTTTCCCAGAATTGTTAATTACGCTTGGGTGCTCTTTTCCTTGAACTGTCTGAGTGATCATAGTTGAGTATTTGTAGCTTTTTTGATATCAGAAAAAAGTTAAGTTGTAGGTTAGAAAACTGCTTAAGCGAGGGAAAGGGCTATCAAAGTGACGTAAGGTTGAAAGAAACAAGAACTGTCTTGTTTTCTGGTTTAATGAAGACATGCACCACCTGTTCCTGTGCATTTCGCTTCTCCTTTGTTCTCATCTGTATAAATACAGCCACTGAAATAAACGAGGCGCGGCAGTCACCAAGCACTCCGTCCTCGGGTCCCCATCTTTCTGTTGTCTCTTCATTTCTCAGCCTCGCCCCCAACTCCAGGTCCGCACGTCGCCGGCTGGCCCCGGCGAGCTCTAATCAGAGTCTCCTTGGATTCCCTGAGGTGGTCAGGCATGCACATTTCTTTCATCAAATTGGGGAAATCTTTGATTATAATTTTCAAAATAGATTTCGTGTCCCTTTTCTCCACTCATATCCCACTGGGACATCTTATTGTGTGAGTCAGCCGCGTGATGGTGTCGCAGCATCTGGCAGGTTCTGCACTTGTGAGCCTTGCTTCCCCCCTCAGAGAGGATGTGCCAATTGCTCTGTGTTTAGCTCAATGAGGCTTTATCAATATTCTCTTCGGTATGAGACATTCTTCCTATAGTTTCCTTTGACATTTGATTTTCTTTGTGTCTTTCAATATATTTATAACAACTGATTTGAAGTTTCTGTCAAGTAACTCTAATGTTTCTGCTTCTTTGGGGACAGTTTATATCAGTGTGTGTGTGTGTGTATGTTTGTGTGTGTGTGTCTGTGTATGTTTGTGTGTCTGTGTATGTTTGTGTGTGTGTGTGTGTAAATTGTTGCATAGATTTGCTTGTTTTTTATTGCCCTCTGTGTAGGCATTACTTTCCTGTTACTTTTTCTCATAATTTCAGTTTAAAAAGAGAGATTTTACATAATATAATGTGACAACTGTGCCAATCAGATCCCTTCCTTAAGATGTTATTCTTGAGTTGTTGCTATTTGTTCTGTAGTTGTTATTGTTGTTGATTTATTGTTCTGTGATTTTCTGGACTGATTCTGTAATTCTGTGTTATTTGCATATGTGGTCACTGAAGTCTATTCCATTCCATGAGCGGTTAGCTAATTTTTGGACATATGAAACTGGGAACTTTCAAAATCAGTGGTCTATTGTATGTCAATTATCAGTCACTAGAAACACATATAAGAATAGGCTGGAACAAGCAGAGAGGAACACACTGAGGTCAAATGGGAGGAAGACATAGGTCTGGGAACTCCTGAAATGGGCACAGGAGGACGAGGGAGACACAGAGATCCACACTCACCGGTGGGTCTTAGATGACACAGCTGAGCCAGCCAGCTCAGCCCAGGACCTCAGTGCAGAGAGACCCTGTGTCCCCAGCTGTAGGGGAGCAGGGAAAGTCGTTTCCTTGGTGGCCCTTTCCCAGCCCTGGGCTGCTGTGATTGACGCTGAGGACAGAGGGGAGGAGCAGCCTCCTTGCCCACGTGGTGCCTGTGGCTGCAGCTGGGCCCGCGGTGGCAGCAGCAGCAGCAGAAGCCACAGGCTGGGCCTGAGCAGCAGCTGACGGCGTTCACCCTCCTGCAGGTGACGACGGGGTTCTTGTCCCACTTCTCCATGGACCTGCAGCACTGTGGAGCATCAAGACTGCTGTCATAGGACTGGCAGTAATAGTCAGCCTCGTCCTCAGCCTGGAGCCCCGCGATGGTCAGGGAGGCCGAGCTGCCAGACTTGGAGCCAGAGAACCGGGCAGGGACCCCCGAGGGTCTATTGCTGTTATCATAGATGAGGAGTTTGGGGGCCGTTCCTGGGAGCTGCTGGTACCAGTGCACAGCATACCCAGCCCCGATGTTGCTGCTGCTTCCCAAGCAGGAGATGGTGACGCTCTGCCCCGGGGCTCCAGACACCGAGGGCGGCTGCGTCAGCGCAGACTGGGCCCAGGACCCTGGAAGGGGGAGACACACACATGGTGACTCTGGGTCTGGAGACAAGAGGACAGAGCAGGGCCCCACGGTCTTCCCAGGGCCCTTCCCTGGCCCGAGTCAGCTCACCTGTGCAGTGAGCCAGGAGGGAGAGCAGGAGCGGGGCCCAGGCCATGGCGGGACTGTCCCGAGTGCTGCCTTCTGTGCCCGCAGCTGCAGCAGCTTCCCCAGGTCTGTCCTTCCCCTCTTCATACCCTGAGAGGGGAGGCTCCTCCATGCAAATGGCCCCGGCGTTCTGCGCCCCCTGGGCCCTGGTCAGGCCCCTGTGCCTGAGGGTGTCAGGGGTGGGCAGGGGCGGGGCTGTGTGGTCCCAGGGGGTGGGGAGGTCACAGCTGTGCCCTGAGCAGAGGGCACCAGGCAGGGCAGGTGGCTGGCCCCAGCTCTGATCACCCCCAGACACCTCAGCAATGGGTTTTGAGCGCCCCCTGCTGTCCGCACCCTGACACAACATCACGGGACATGGTGACCCGTCCCCCAGAGCCAGCCCAGCCTCCGTCCAGCTCTGTCCACTGCCCCTGCCTCAGGCCAGGACAGGGGTGCTCCTGGGGCCTCCCCATTCCCTCAGAGCCGTATTCTCACTCTACCGGTTTCCTCCGGGTGAACGTGTGCACGGCTCCCTGGGCCGTCCCCGGATCAGCACGGAGGTGGGGTCTCCACGCACAGTCCTCGCAGGTCAGGACCAAGTCCGCAGCAGGAACCCGCTTCCCCAGCCCTGGGCCTCCAGGTCCTCTCCTCATCTGAGGCTCCTCCGTGGAGGCCAGAGCTCTCCCTGCCGTGGGCCCCGCAGTGCTGGGGAGAAAGGAGCTCTCGTGCCGGGCCGGGAGGAGACGCGAGGCGCGGTGTGCAGGGGCTGTGCTGTGGACGTATTGATTGTCTGTGTTTCCAGAGACGGGAAATCAGAGTCAGTCTACACTCAGAGCGAGGATTCGCCTCTAAGAATCTTCCGTCCAAGCTCACGGCTGCAGGGCCGCGCCCAGTGAGGACACTCACAACATTTTACCTAAGAAGCGTTCGGGCAAACTCGCTGTGTGCGGAGTGACAACTGCGGGTCCCGCCCAGCAGTGCCCGGGCCTGCGTGAGCCTCCTGCACGGGGCCGTGCGGGTCCAGCTCTCCAAACAGGGCACTGAGGATACAAGATGTGTGTGTGTGTGTGTGTGTGTGTGTGTGAGTGTGTGTGAGAGTGTGTGTGAGTGTGTGTGTATGAGTGTGTGTGAGTGTGTGTGAGTGAGAGTGTGTGTGAGTGTGTGTGTTTGAGTGTGTGTGTGTGAGTGTGTGTGTGTGTGTGTGAGTGTGTGTGTGTGAGTGTGTGAGTGTGTGTGTGAGTGTGTGTGTTTGAGAGTGTGTGTGTGAGTGTGTGTGTGTGAGTGTGTGAGTGTGTGTGAGTGTGTGTGTGAGTGTGTGTGAGTGAGTGTGTGTGTGAGTGTGTGTGTGGGTGAGTGTGTGTGTGTGATTCTCAAGGGTGAGGCCGTGGAGACTTCAAAAATGAGAGGACCCCTGAGTGCAAATGTAGGAACATGCTGCACCACAGCAACTGAATCAAGGGTAAAAGTTGGTTGAGCATCTCAGTAGATGTAGAGAAAGCATTTCACAAGAGTCCACCTTTTCACCATAAAAACGACCCAGTGAATTAGATAGCAAAGCAATGTCCCTCAATATAATGAAGACTGTACATGATAAGCAGAAAAAAGTCTTGCAAATACTGAATGTGGTAAGAAAGTGAAAATGCAGAAACCTTGTGCGTTGCTCGTATGAACAGACAGGGTCGCAACTGCCTGGGAAAACAGGTCTATGATTCCTCCATACGTTAAAAATAAAATTACCTGATAGTTCAGCAATTCATTCCACAGCTAGCAAGAGGTAAGAAAACTGACACCAGTTGTTCATGCAAACACTTGTGCGGGACCAGTCACAGTAGCGCTATTCACAGTGGCGTTTACATGAATTTCCCAGAATAGAAACCCACAGAGCCAGACAGCAGGCTAGCGCGTGCCAGGGGTGAGAGGCAGGAAGGAGGGAGCACCCTTTGAGGTCACGCTTTTCCTTGTGGGTTAAGGATATATGTTGAACATTGGTAGCAGTGAGGTTCTAAAATATTGAAAATATATCTAATGACACTCAATTGCACACTTTCTTCTTCTTCTTCTTTTTTTTTTTTTTAAGACAGAGTCTTACTTTGTTGCCCAGGCAAGAGTGAGTGAAGTGGCATCTGCCTAGCTCACAACAACCTCCAACTCCTGGGCTCAAGCGATCCTCCTGCCTTAGCCTCCCGAGTAGCTGGGACTACAGTCATGCACCACCATGCCCGGCTAATTTTTTCTATGTATATTAGTTGGCCAATTAATTTCTTTCTATTTATAGTAGAGACGGGGTCTCGCTATTGCTTAGGTTGGTTTCGAACTCCTGACCTCGAGCAATCCGCCTGCCTCAGCCTCCCAGAGTGCTAGGATTACAGGCGTGAGCCACCGCGCCCGGCCTAATTGCACACTTTCTAATGGTGAATTTCATGTTGTGTATTTTATCACAGTAAAACGCATTAAGAAATAATTTCTAATATGGATATATGATCATTCACTTCTATTTCGATATGACTGTTCGTTTACAGATGAACTTTAAACTGCTGGAGTCCAAGTCTGTGCCTCACCAAGGTGCTCTATTTCCCGTCCACCTGTGTCCTGTAGGCAAATGTCCGTTCGGGTCTTTCCCCCATTTTCTGTCAGGTTATCTGTTCTCCTACTGAGCTCTGGATTTCTTTGCATATTCAGGATACAAATCATTGATCAAATATGTAATCCCCTGGGGAAAGATGAGAGAATCTAATGGTTCCTGTCCTTTAACGATATCTTATGGACGGTGTTTTTCCATTACACTGAGCCTCAGCAGTAAAGATGTTCCCATTTATCAAAGCAAAACTGAAAGAAAATTAATGATTGTGAGACTATTGGCATATTTGCTCAAATTTTACAAACAGGCGGGGACGTCTCGTGGGGGAGGAGAGCTGCGGGACGCGGCCTGGCTCTCTGTGTGGTGGGCGTCTCGCAGGCAGCCGCAATGCTGGCGGGCTCTCTTGCACCATCTAACAAAGCTGAATCGCTACAGCTAATGCAGACACTTACACGTGATCAGTTCACAGGTTCACGCACACGAGAATACATGCCAGATTCCAGTGCCACTTTCCCAGCATACCATTATTTGTGATGTTCTTTGTCTTTGTAAGCCGTGCCATTTCTTCTTTTTCATAGATCGGTTTTTAATAGATTTCTTGTGTTTAAAGAAAACAACCAAATACCGACACTAAGTGTCACTGACTAGCAGGTGGAAACGCATTCTTGCAGACAAGCCTGCACCCCACGTTTTCCTCCCGTCACTCCTCTGTGATGTGCACGTGTCCCCAGCCGAGTTTGTTTCCCCGTTTCTCCCGCCTGGGTGGCTGGAGAGTCACCCAGGCTGAGGTGTCCCTCACAAGGACAAGGCTGCCTGTGTCCCCTGCCTGCCGTGGGCTGCTGTCCTGGGTGAGCCCTGAGCTGCCGGGCTGAGGGCAGAGGGGGAGCAGGGCCACAGCGGACGCCCCAGGCGGCCGAGCTGGGCAGTGCCGCGTGGCCAGTGTGGCGAGAGGCAGGTCTGCAGTCGGCCAATTGTTGCCGGCCCCGACCTTGTGTCGAGCGCAGAGCTCAGTGTTGGTTGTGAACACCAGGCTGGTCTAGACCGCCCCCGCCTGCCTCAGCGGCTGTCCCTGATGGGAGCACAGGGTGGGGACACAGGGCCCCCCCTCACCCTCAACACGGGTCCAGGGAGCCCAGCGAGGCCCCTGCTGCACTCAGGGGGCTGAGAGGGGATGACGCGTGGATCACAGGGAAGAGGGGACAGGGGTGACAGGAGAACGGAGGGGACATCGCTGTGACCTGAAGACTCCTTGGGTTGAGGTGAAGACCCAGAGACGGCCAGCAAGCAGATCTGGGTGGAGTAACGTGGAGGTGAATAACACGCCCCAGGAGGAGGGGACTCCCGAGAATGAAGGGATTGGGGCTCAGAAGGACACCCTGGCAGGGCGCGTGACTCACAAATAGGAGCAAGTTGTCTCTGATTTGCCAGGGCAAGCAGCGTGCTGGGTGGGCCTGGGCAGGGCTGTTCTGTGGCCCCTTGGGGGCCTGTGAGGTCACCGCTGCTGTCCCAGTGAGGAGGGGACAGAGGGCGCAGATCGCAGCCAGGGCAGGCTACCAGCTGGGACCCAAAGCTCAGGGCTCAGGGACATCACTCGTCTCCTAAAAACCTTGGGGTTTTATCTGGGAGCACGTGGTACCAGCCTCCACGGTCACCCCCAAAGCCTGTGCAGCTCCCTGTGCAGGAGAAGGTGACCTCAAGGGACAGCACGAGCTCCACAAGGAGAGGACACGGCACCGGTCGGGGTTCTGCTCCCTGATGTCCTACAGATCACACTGCGCGGCATGGACTGTGGAAAAGCCCCCACGGGGCAGGACAGGAGAGGACACGCGTCAGTGCCCGTGGGCTCAGGGACAGCGCCCCGTGGTCCCTGTGCGCCTGCTGGCGTCAGCTGCAGGAAAGTCACACCCAAGGACCTGCTGCTCCCAACACCCCTGAGCCACTCAGGGTCCCCAGCAGTGGTGGCGCCTCCCTCCCTCCCAGCTCCCACAGGGCGGTCGCTGGCCTCAGCCCCATCGCTGTCCCCGTCCCCACCCCCTGTGCTGAGGTGCCTGCCAGTGAGCATGGCCAGATGTGCCCCTGGAGTTCCTCCTGACCCACGACCTCAGGCAGCAAGTCCCGCCCCACTGCCTGGCGCCTGGGGCGGGGGGAGCCCTGGCAGGCCGAGCACAGACGGCTGGGGGGACAGGGGGTGTCTGCTGTAACAACGGGAAGAGCACAGCATGTAGGACTGTCTCTGTGGCACGGCCCTGGGCTCTGAACACGGTGTGAGTCGGGAGAGGCTCATTTTCCGCCTTTCAGGGAAACAAACAAAAGTCCACACGCACGGGTTTAGGACGTTGGGAGAAACAGACCATGTTTCAGTCTTATCGGGAGGTTTTTGTTTTTGTTTTTACTTTTCCTGAAACTTTGAAACATTGACTGGAAATTGAGAATAGAAGTATTTTAAACCAGAAGGTGCATTCAGGTAGGCTTTGAATGTATTTAACCTATTTTAAAATTTGAAACTTGCCATAGAACAAAACCCTGAGCAGGCTGAGGT